TAAGAGATTTAAGAGCCCCCAATAAAAGTATTTAATTTTTAAAAAAGAATGAAGGGTGGCAGTTATACAATATGACTGATGTATCGGTATTATTATGCAATTGTAGACAAGAATGGTGAACTGGAAAATGCTATATTTGACACAGACGTTTGTTTTGTTTTGTTTTGATATCACCTCATTTAATCTGAAAAAGAAAGTGAGGTTAGGAAGGTCATGGGAACTGCCCAGAATTCAAACCCATTTGAATCCTAGTGAATATTGTCTACATATGACAAATAATCCTAAATTCTAGGATGTGCTGTAAGCTGATGAGAGTTACTTGATTTCCAAATCCAGTTCTTACCTTGAGCTTTGCATGTCTTCCCATCACCTTCTAATACGTAGCCTGTATCACACCAGCACCGGTAGGAACCTCGCTCGTTGTGGCAGTGCTGGCTACAGAAGCCTGGGAAATCACATTCATTGATCTCCTCACAGGTCTTAGAATCATTGGCAAGGAGGAACCCCGACGGACATATGCATTCAGCCCCGAAGGGACCTTGAATGCACTCATGGGTACAGCCAGCATTGTTCACTGAGCAGCTGTCCTGGTCTGGAATAAAGGAAGAGAATCACAAAGGGGGGAGTCAGGAGTCGGTGCTTCCGTGACTCGCTCTGAGGTCATATATGGCAGACAGTCTCATGCCCTCTTCATTGCGATGCCCAGGTCAGCGCTAAGAGCAGCATTCCCTTGGAGGAGTGCCACAGGCTATTCATTTATCTGCACTGATTTGCCCGCAAATTGACTATTCTTCTCCTCGAGTGGACTGAGAACATCGGGGAAGACAGGTTAACAACATGAAGTCAAATCATCACGGATAACGCATGCATGGACATCTACATGACTGCTCACTTGGTTCCTCTGCCATTCTTCTACCTATAGAGCAGTGGAAGAGAGGACTTTGACACTGACAAAGAACTAGAATATCTATGGGAGAGGGTGGTTAATTGGAACATTAGAGGGCACAGATCCACTAATAGAACGTCATGCTTTACTTTCAGGGCAAAGGGGCCATAACTGAAGCCACCAAGGGCCGACTTTTTCCATGTGTGCGTCACTCGTTTATAGAAGTCGTGATACAGAACATGCACTAGAAAGGGCAGTAAGTCCAAATGAGTAGGACATTCTCTGCACAAACACACAACATGAAATCACACGAATCTACGCTACTTCACAACCATACCTGGCTGGAGTTCATCTGAGAATGGGCAGTGATTAAAGAGGGAAGAAAGAAAGGACAGTCGTTAGGGTTCCATGCCAATCACAGCATTTGCAATCACAGCACACACAAACCCCCAGGCTTCATTTGTTTTGTGGCGAGTTCTGATCGAATTAGAAAATATTAAAGTGAGAAAAATATACAAGCATGTTATACACCAAGATCAACTTGAATTTAACCATCTAATGGTATCATTTAGTCTCATTTTTCCAAACATAAGAAGTAAAAACACACGATCAAGTGCAAAGGATTTAATAATAAGTATTATGCAGTGATGATTTATTTGAAATTCATTAGTTAAGCCTTTCTAGATCTAAACTAAAAATGAACTGGCTCCCCGTCCACCCACCCACCCCCAAAAAAGCTACACAGAAACTCTGACAATGGTGGTGCCCACCAGGTTACTGCTCAAAATGAATTTAGGGCCAGCAAACTGTGGTCAAGAAACTTACTGCAAAGTGGGGACTCATCTGCCCCATTGGGGCAGTCAGGGATAGAATCACACACTGCGCTCAGATTCACACAGACGCTATGGCCGGGGCACTGCCACTGCCAACTGGGACAACGAAAGGCCTCGGTAGGGCAGTCCCTTTCATCACTCAGATCCCTGCAGTCATTGTCCCCATCACACAGCCATGCTTTATGGATGCAGTTTCCGTTGTCGCAGAGGAAGTGAGTGGAAGGGCAGGTCTTGGGCAGGCAGCCTTGATGCTCGTCAGATCCACGGGCACAGTCTGGGTGCCCATCACACTCCCAGCCATGCGGGAGGCAGACACCATCTTCTTGGCACTGAAATTCATCTGGGTGGCATATACCAGGAGGCCTGGTGGCTGGGGGGAAAGCATTTGGAAAATGAGTCTGTGAAGGCTATCCATATGGTACAGGCTGGATTCTGAGAAGATTATGTCAGATCAATAGTATGTCTAGAATACTTACTCTAACAAAATTAATAGTACAATATGAAATAACAGTCTTCTCGCGCACTATAGTACGTACATAGAAGCTTGTGTATATGTCAGATCAATGGGTGTGACAATAAGATTAGTGGGTCTAAGAAGACGCTGCACAATTTAAGTAGACGATAAGCACCTGACTCAAAAGAATATCCTTTCCCTGCCTCATATTGTTCAGAAAGGTGCAGGTTCAGCAATAACATTCACCATAAAGAGCATTTCTATAAAGTTCTGACTATTTTGAATGGCATATGTCTAACATGGATATCAGATGCTATGATTTTCCCTCAGTTAAACGACACCTAATGAAAGTGATGCATATTAAGGAAACAAAACTTTCTACAGCTCACTGAGCAATCCTTAGGAGATAGGTAATCATTGCTACACCTGTCACAAGAACAACCTAGACTCTCTCCAGGTGACCTCCCAAGGCAAGCCAGTGGTAATTGGCACTTTAATAGGAAAAGTGAAAACAAGGAATTTCTGAAGGTTCTTCTGCAAGTCTATAAAGGGTATACTTTATATTTCATTTTTCCTTTAATCTATCAGTTTAAAAACTCCTGACTGGGAAGGAGAATTGATGAGACACAACATTTCTGGTACCAAACTTTATTGCTCAAAGGAATGACCGCCTCTGTGATGGATCTATTAGAATCAATTCCAAACACAGCTCAATACACCATTGCTATTACCATGATTTGACCTGCTTGCTGAGGTTTTAAGAAACCATTTGAGATTTGCTAGAAGACAGTAAGTAGCCCTGGTGGTGTAGTGGTTACAAGTTGAGCTGCTAACTCCAGGGTCAGCAGTTCAAAACCACCAGTCATGACAAGGGAGAAAGACAGTGCTTGGAGAGTCCTGCAAAGTTACCGGGGCAGTTCTACTCTATCCTAGAGTCACTAGGAGCTGACATGGACTCGCTGACAATGAGTTTGGCTTTTGGGATTGGCGGTGAGAGGGGGGAGGGGGGGGAGAATAATAGCAAGACCCAAACAAGCTGAGAAATAAGTCTCCCTTAGCTCATTTGGACTTCATTTGTTACTACAACTCATTATTAGGGTAAAGCCAACCCAGCCTTACTGAATGTTCCAGACTGCTTTCCTATTTTGTAGTTTTACTTTGTAAAACTTTGTAGTTTTAGAGAATACTTTGTAGTTTTAGATTTTTGAGATTTGTGTGTGTGTGTGTGTGTGTGTGTGTGTGTGTACCACAATATCCACATTGGTAAAAATGAAATGATCCCATCTCCTGAAGCATGCTGGGTAAACGGTACTTACGACAGCCTATCTCATCTGAGTGGTCATGGCAGTCATAAACACCATCACAATGGTCCATGCTGCTGATACACTGGTCCCCACTGGCACACTTGAACTGAGAAGCAGTGCAGTTAAACGCTAAGGGTGAAAGAGACAAGGCATTAGGAATCGGCTCAGAGGGGCAAACCGCTCGGCACTGAAAATTATGCAAGCATGACATACATAAACAAAGCGATCCACTTACCACAGCCAACCTCGTCGGATCCGTCAACACAGTCTTTGTCCCCATCACAGACATAAGGTAAGTCAATACAACGATGGTCAGGGCATTTAAATTGAGTGACGTGGCAAGTCTCTGCAGATTCTAATGTCACCCAAAGATAAAACCAATTCAGTTTTATTTCTTGGTCATCGGTTACCAGAGATAAACTTTTAAAATGTTAAGTAGCGACAACAGTTGGCTTAGTGACAAGAGCATTCAGGATTCCTTCCAGTCGGCTACACAATTCAAAGGAACAGAAAGATTACAGGGCAGAACCCACACCTGATCACACTCAGAAAAAGAGCACACAGAATGTGAGCATGATGCACCTCATAACGACTATTAAGTGCAGGATGCTTGACTGATGGACAGCAATGGAGCCCAAAGAAGCAGCATGGTCAGTATGACCCACTGCCCAATAGCAGCTGCATGTAGACAGATCACAAGGACCCCATTTGATGTGAAGTCTTTGCAGGTAAAATGATTACACAGCCGGTTCCTACTTTGCTGAGAAGACATAGGCTTGAAGTCAGTTGTACTAACGGCTCCATCTACATCATGAAGCTCCACGAAAGAGAGAGAAGGTGGAGGCTGGCAGGCATCTGGAGCTTCCTTTTTCATCGCCTTATGAAGGCAGGTGACTTGACTATTCAAGACTGGAGTTGAGCCAAGGGACCCTGCCCCACCTCGAACTAGGATTGCAGACAAGAGCATACGCTCCAAGAAAACGGAAATCAAAACCGGCAAGACCCAAAGCAGGTGGGTAGGATGAGTGGCCATTTACATTCTCGGTGTCTCTCGCTCAATTGCCTTTTTCACTTATATCAATGAAAAGAAAAAAAGAGACAACAACTAAAAGTCTAGATGTGTGGATATTCATCTCACGTACCAAGACTTAGTCAAGGGACTTTTTTGACCCCCTCAGTTTCAATCTAGATGCTTATTGCCATTAGAGAGTCGCTGAATTGTAGGGTCGAAAGGACTCTACTTTTGTAGGCGAGCACACGCCTTCCTTTCATAGCCTCTTGGTACTGGCTAGAAAAGCAACAGATGGAACCGAAGTGGAGGAGATGCCGTGCAAATTGTGCGTGACCTCCTGGAGAATCTCCCAGGTCTTCTTACTAGACTGGCCCGCCAAGAGAAAGCAGCTGAGAGCTTACCGCAGCTCTTCTCATCAGATCCATCCCCACAGTCGTTGTCTGTGTCACAGACCCAGCTTCTTGGGATACACAGATTATTTTCACAGGTGAACTCGTTCACGGAGCAGGAAACAGGCCTCTGGGTAGGGCAGTTCTGCTCATCACTGCCATCCTCACAGTCGTTGTGTTTGTCGCAGTGCCAGAGAGAAGGGATACACTGGCCAGAAGCACACTGGAATGCTGAAGATGCACAGGTACTATCTGCAGCAAAATCAAATGGGCCGACAGTGTAAGATATGACAAAATAATAATAATCTATAAATGATCAAGGGTACATGAGGGAAGGGGAGCAGGGAAGGAGGGGGGATGAGGAGCTGATACCAAGGGCTCAAGTAGAAAGCAAATGTTTGAGAATGATGATGGCAACAAAGGTACAAATGTGCTTGACACAATGGATGAATGGATGGATGGATTTTGATAAGAGTTGTACGAGCCCCCGGTAAAATGATTTTTTTAAAAAAAAGGGCCGTTGAGACATGGGTTTGTATAGCTTTAGCGGGGGGAGAAGGGAGCAGTGTCGGCTTCCTCACATTGGATAATTGTTGCCGGTTGAGTCAAGGCACCCCAGGAGGTGACCTTTCAGAATCAGACCACCAGACCCATCTTCCAAGGCCCCTCCGAGTGGATGTGAACAAGATCATCACCACCAACATTAGTGGCTGACATGTGTTTAGCTCATACCACGGACCAGGCACTTCGATGTGTTTACTTATGACTCTTAATCTCACAAGCATTATCATGATCTGCGTCTTACAGATGAGGAAGCTGAGGCTGTGAGGAATTTAGGAATCTGCCTGGGATATAAGCACGAGGTGAGTCTAAGCCCCATCCAGGACAGCTAAGCCATGCTTCCTCAAATCGAGATTTCAAAGGCACTCCACAGACACCTGAAAATGTGCACTTGGAACAATGCAAGTAGATTTCAAAACAGACTCCCAGAAACAGGAAGATGGTGCCCAAAAGGAGAAAAATTTTAACAAAATGTACCAAGTGGGTGTTTTTTTCTCTGTTGGTTGGTCACATGTTTGGTTGGCAAAAAAAAAAAAAAGAAGAGAGAGAGAGAATAAAGAACATTTCTCAGATGGTAGCTTCTAGAGAGTAGCTTCCTTTTGGGGCTCAACATGCAAAAAGGCAACAGAAAGTGTTCAAAGAGGGTCTGTCTTGACATCCACCATACAACACAGGTAGGTGGCGAGCAGAGCTGGGCCAGGAGTCTTATATTTTAACACCCTCTGGGCGGTAGGCATATAAAACTCTCAGGAGCCCTATACATTTTTCATAAGTATTTAAAGAGGAAAGGAGCCACCATATCAAATAAGGACATTCCCTCCACGCAGACTGATTATTATTACTAATCTCACCTTGACAGAGATTCTAATATGTTTTATTCCATTTTAAAATGTCAATGGAATACTCTGCTCGCCACAAGGTCAGCAGTGCGAAACCACCCGCCGCTCCACTGGAGAAAGATGGGCTTTCTCCTCTTCCAGAGTGCCCCTGCCTGGAAGCCCCAGGGTAGTTCTACCCTGTCCCACGGGGCCGCCACAATGGACGGATGGCAAGGAGTGTCGTTTGGGTCTTTCCCTCTCGATAGCATCTGCTTGCATCAGGCCCCAGGCAGTGGCAGCAACTATTCGTAACGTTCCTTATGAACAATATGTGATGTTTAACTTCCCAAAAGCATCCGTCAAAAATATGGATTCAAACAGATCGCCCGATACATTTCTACGCCTTTGTTTATTTGCGTAAAGGCACAGCGCTCCCCGTGCTGTTCACCGGGACCGGTCTCCCGGGCGGAGCTACTTACTCAGTGCGCCACACTGCTCCTCATCACTGTTGTCGTGGCAGTCATCAACTCCATCACAGCGGTAGTGACTGACCACACACCTGCCGTTCTTACAGGGGAAGGAAAACTCGCCACACTGCTGCATGGGTGGCTCCAGGGACGGGGCTTCCACACACGTCATGTGATCGGAACCCAAGGTCATTCCATAGGGACATCCGCACACCCGTTGGAAATTTGGCACCGGGAAGCAGAAGTGGCTGCAGTCGCCATTGGGATTGGTCGTCCGACTGCAGTAATTAGAACCTGAAAATGCAATACACGAGAGTAGCCGGTAATGCACACTTGAACTTCGTGGGTCACAGGTTTAGTTGGCAAAGAAGAACAAAGAACAAAGAACATTTTTTTCAAATCGGTTCCTAAAAAGTAGCTTCCTTTTAGGGATCAACATGCAAATTTGGTAACAGAAATCATTCAGAACGTCTGTCTCGACATCCACCAGCAATGCATGCAGGGCTAGCAGAGTTGGGCGGGGAGGCCTATTTTAACCCCCTCTGGGTGATAGGAAAATAAAACTTTCAGGAGTCATATAAAATCATAAGTATTTAAAGGGAAAGGAACTACCATATCAAATAAACACATTCTCATGAGGTGTGCGGCAGGCTTACTTACCTGTCTGGCGGTCAGCATCATACGATTTCACGTGCATTATGTTACTAATGCCTTTTCGGATAACAGTCTGCCCCCCACCATCAATTTTCCTAACTCGAACAATAGCACCCAGTCTCCAGTCAGTAAAAATTACATGCTCTAGAATAAGGAAAAGAAGCAATTAGTCTTTTTGGTCATTGCTCCCGTTTTAACTCCCTCAGGGAAAATGGGCTTGCAAATGTGAGGATCTTCTTCGATTAAAAAAAACAATGGCTAGAAATGACTCTGGAAACTTACCTGCCAGGGTTCAGGTTTAGGCAAGAATGAATGGAGAAAAGTGATGATAGGTTTAGACTTCCACAGATTGGGGAAAAAAATTCAGGATCCTTCCATAAGGAATCATAAGACATAAAACTAACACATGAACCTATCGGGGGCTCTCAGTCAAATGCATAACTTTGGGGGACTAATTTTTCTCATTGTAAAACAGAGTAAATCATCCCCAAGTTTCCTACCAGGTCAAATATCCTAAATCCCAAGTCTTAAATAAGAAGACTTAAAGTTTGCACTCAACTTTAATAAGAAACTGTTCAATAAGAATGAAAAGTACAAAACTTGTCCAACTTATACCTTGTGGGATTGGTAAAAATATCAGCCTAAGTCTGCACAGGGAGCAGAAAACAGAAGCAATATCAGGAGTCGACATATTAATCGTTGAATTGTGTGCACTTTACACTAGTTAATGATCCAGGGAAGTGGGTATGAGGATCAATCTAAACAAAATCATAGAAATGTTTATTAAAATCATCAAAAGTTTTTTTTGTTTCTCAACACTCCCTCCCCATCGAGGTCTGAGCACTTCTGAAGGCAGTGTTTCCATCTCTAAAAGTCTTCCTCCCAAAGAATTCTGGGTTCTTCAGTTTACCCCACACCAAAACAGCAAAGAGCAGTCGCCATGCCCTTTGGGACTAACCTCTCTGCCTTGAACTTAGCTGGTCCATCGGATCCCTTTGGAAGCCACTCTTCTGATTGGACCTTTTTTGGTTTGTGCTTTTGAAGGAAACCCTTCTGAGACTAAAACAAGTGTATTACTCAGAAAATCTGCAGCCATTCACTGATTACAGAGATTCTTCTAAACATGTTTTGTTTAGAGTGAACTCATGCACGTATGAACTAGAACCTAGTAGCGATACTTTTTACTTGCTGTGTACTTTTCAACGGTTTTCAAAAACAAGGGTTGAATCAAAGTGGGTTTTTCTCTTCAACAACAGCTTAATTAACTGTAAAAATCCAGGCAGCTATTTTTATAACTATTTTTTAAATTCCTAAAATATCACAAATGTAACCATTAGACCAGTTCTCCATATCAGTGCTAATAACTGAGCAATTATTATATTCCCTCAATCTGACCTACACTAACTACTTACCTTGCTCAAGAAATTAACATACTTAAGTAGATAAGTTCAATAAACCTTTCCCCCCAAAACATGCAGATCTCTCATGGTGTTAAGCAATAACACATTGAAAGGCAGAGAAAGTCATTTTTATTTTGGGACTGCACGCTCAAATTCTTGCACCCCAATGAGACCAAAAGGTACTGAAATTGCATTCAATTCAACACCCAGACATTCAGCACTGGACTAAGAGAAGTGGACATGTAAAATGTTCCCAGGCTCACAATAAATGGAGTGTGAAAATAGCTAGCCCAAATGTGTGGGAAAGAAACGGGGGTTTATAACTGACTCATCTCATCATAAAAGCATTTTTTATGTTTTTGCATGCGGTGCACATCACACTGTAATATGTGTTCCACGGCATAGATCTATGAGGTACATGATGTGATTTATAGTCTGCAGTGTTTTGAAGCACTATGCAATTGATCCAGAATAAAAGATGTCAACCAGAGATAAAACTAGCATTCAAGGTATTTGAAGGATCACAAAACAGGACCCCTCTTAACTAAATTAGTTGGGGCTTGTCGAGTCAAATTGAGGCACTTTTCATTCCCTCCCCATCCCCTCAGCCTGGCCCTTTTGTGCAGTGCACAAGCTACAACTCCATTCTGGAAAGCCTTTTTCAGGACTAACCAAACTATATGCAGCATGGTGACAAACCAGTCTTTTCTCAGCAGCTCACTTAACACAATGCCTGCACTCAGGAGGGCAGTTATTGCTATAGTTTCCCAGGTAGCTGTGCTTCCCAACAATCTCTACTAGCAGGAATAAATTCTTTGAAAAGGTTGGTAAGAACAATAAAATGCTATAAGCAACTACGAACAGATCTTACTATTTTATCCTTGAAAAAGGTGGAAGCGGGGGTTAATAGGGTCCCTGTTTCCTCATGTCATGCTATTTATTTATAGGGTACTTGGGATGTCAGAAGCCCATGGGGGCAGTTTTGCTCTAAGTCGGAATTGGCTTGAAGACAGTGAGTTAGGTTTAGGGGTTTGGGGTGCTGAACTGTCTATCTACAAAGTACTACACTCACATAAGTGGTTGGTGTTATTATCTAAATGGGCCCCAAACAAAGCATGTCCAAAGGGAAATATCCAGTAAGCAAACCAACAGAACAAATGTTTTGTCTATAAAATGGCACCATTTTAATTTCTCTATTCAATATGCCCAGCTTTTCTGGAACGTGAGCAGATGACAGTACTGCTACAACGTACAGTTTTACGGCTTTGAAACCTACCTCCAAAGACGGTGAGTCCAAATGGATGCGTCATCTGGTCGATGTGACCCAGCGATCTTCTATCTGAACCATCAAATGTGCTGTGCTCAATTTTGTCAAAAAAGGCATCTACCCAGTACAGTCGTAAAGCACTGAAATCACAAAGCACTTCATTAGATGTTGTCCGGAAATAGCAGAGGAACCCTTGAGGGCATTCAAAATCAGTATGTTGACACGTTTATTAAACAACATTTTCAAAACTCAAAACCTGAATTACATTCCTTTAAAAATTAATAACTGTAAAGCTCCCTGGAAAGAAAGTTACTTTCCATGTAGTGGTTTCCATTGATGTTCTTAGAAAGCTTAAAATTGTTTCTCTGGTGAAATCATTAAGAAAAATACTGTTAGTAATATTTAAGGATCCCGGATGGAATAATGGTTAAGTGTCCCATTAGCAATTGAAAGGCTAGTGGTTCGAGTCCAGCCAAGGCTCTGCAGGAGTAAGAGCTGGAATCTGCTCCTGTAAAGAATACAGCTAGAAAACCCTAACTGACGGTTTATGTTATCACCTGGGGTCCCCACTGGTTAAAATTGACACCCCAGCACCTGACAAACAATACATTTCTCACCTTTCTGTCTCCATCCGATAAATTACCATGTAACGTCAGTAAACTACATCTTGTACTTTAAAAATCCTCCCACCCAAAGTGCATAGAAGGAAATATATTTTTGCTGATTAAATCCAAATGTCCCTTCGTCTCAATATGCTCCTGTCTGAAATTACATGACTAGGCATTTATAAAATCCCTATCCCACTGCCGATACGGAGGAACTCACCTCACCCCATAATGACCTTCCTTCACACCTTCTATAATTCTGGTTCCCCTGACAACATGCAGAGAATATTCATGAATGCATCAGACTCATTCCCAGCAGTGGCTAGCCAACTGCGGTATCCTTATATCATTCTATGTCTTTCTCTGATACACTCTTTAAAAATCTGAGGGGCGGGCAGTGCCAGTTTTCTTATTCTGTCATATTACCCCAGTGTGCCTCCTATGTATTCCACAGTAAGAGGGAAATCAACAAGGTGGATAATTCCTACTTACCCCCAGTCGATGGCCAACCCATTGGGCCATCCAAGAGTAGTATTTACAATAGGCAAAGCGTTAGATCCATCACTCCACGCTCTCATGATTTTGGCAGGACGGAACCAATCAGTCCAGAATATATACCTAGAAAATGAGGTGACAGGTACATGACTTCAAGATCATTAACACAAACAAACACAGATTCTCCATCTACTTGTTGCAACTAATTCGAATCTTTCTGTATGGGATTGTGCTTAACCCACTTAGTGGACAATGAATCTAATTCTTAATTACAAGTTCCATTTTCAAGATATGGTTAAAATCACAAGTATAAATGGCATGCGGGTCCCTAAAAATGTTTTTAACTCCAAATTTAGTGTAGGGACCAAGAATTGAACTGCTAAGTTTTAAAACAGATACAAACAGGTTTTCCTGACTCATTAGATTGATCATAATATTGTTAGCTTTCTTTGAAAGGAAAAGTTGGTGAATAAAATAGATTTGAAGCCCAGTGTCCACTTCTAAAAACCATGGTTTAAGGGACTCTGGTGGGTTCAAGCCCATGGGACTTTGTTTTTGTTTTTTTGGAAAGTTGCCCACTCCAAGAAGAGCGACATTGTCCGAGACTATCGGACCTAAAGTCGTTAACATCAATGAGATTATCTTTTAAAACCATAATTCTGTCTATATTTCTGTCCATGCTGTTGAAATATAATCATAGGTCATGAGTAGCCAAGCTGATTTTGATCTCTTTCTTTCTTTTTTAGGGTTTGTTATTTTGTTTTTACATTTTTATTGGCACCTAATCCACATACTGATCTCTTTCTTTATGCATCCAGAATCCACTAAATCTGTCTTGCTATCGCCATAAAGAATTAATACATTTTCAAGAGAATGTGTCATCCCTGAGGAAGACTGTGAGGAGGCATCAAAACATTCATAGAAAAAGTCTAGGATCTTTTCATTCTGTTTCTCCAAGAACTTTGAGACACTCCCTCATATTTCTTCCCTGGCATACACGGGGTCACCAAGAGACAGAATCATCTCAACGACAAAAATAACTGATTTGGGGGGTTGGTTGGTTGTTTTTGCATATAACTTTACAAAGAGTAAATGAAAAGGCTCCAGAGGCAATACAGGAAGTTATAAGAAACATGAGCTTTGCAGCCAAACCACAAAACCAGACCCACCACCATGGAATCAACCCCAACTCTCTAGACCCTTTACAGGATTTCTGAAGCTGTAAATCTTCATGGGAGCAGACAGCCTCAGCCATCTCCCTGAGCGAGGCTGGTTGGTCTGAACTTCCAACCTTGCAGTTAGGAGTCTAATACTTACCTGGCAGCATCCCCAGAGCTCCTAGGCATTTTAGTCACACAGATCTACAGTTGGATACTAAATAGCCCCGGCCCCTGAGCCAATATACTTTATCTCTCTGAGTCTCAAATTTTCTAAATACATATGATTCAAAAAGGTCATAAACTAGGTTTGGGATTAAATGAGAAAATATATGTAGAGTGCTAAGTCAGTGCTGCACAATTCAGATGTTCTACACAGGCCCCTTTAGTCCTAATCAAATTTAAATATTAAAGGAAAACATCAAAAATGATATTGTAAACTACTCTTGTCTTGCTGACACTACCAATTATAGAAGAGCAAAACATGAAACTTGGGGTGAAGCTTCATATCAACACATCAAGGCAGGGAAAGAATTTGAGCCTTTCCTGATAATTCTGCTACATATGAATCCCTTTCCTACGGAAGCTGAACCACACTGCTCAGTCCTCAGCAACTGTGGACACACACACACACATTGCAGTGAAGAGTGAGAAGGCTGAAACATAGAAGTGTGGGTGTTTTTTGGCTTTTGAAGCAGATAAAGTGGTTCATTTATGCTAAAGGGATAAAATTAAAGGGATGTTAATTTAGACAGTTCAATCTTACATGTGTTGAGCTTGCCAAATCCCCTATGGCATCACTTTTCAAAGACTGAAAAAGACAGCAGTGTTTTCCAACAGGGTAAACATCATCGCACTTACCCTATGATGGGATGAACTACAATCGATCGTGGGTTATTTAATTTCTGGATGATCTCTCGTCTTGATTTATCAACTACCCTCATGACACTGATAGACTTGTAAGAAGCATCTGTCCAGTAGAGATTCTTTGAAATCCAGTCAAAAGCCAAAGCTTCAACGCTTTCCACCCTGTTAGCTACGAGAATTTCTCTTCCTGTAAAGTAAAATGTCAGCAGAGCATAAAGTTACGAGATATGCACTTTACAGTTACATATTTAATTTGTGTTACAGCATATTTCGGGAATACGTGTGGAATTCCGGAAGGGGGTGGGGAATACTTATCAAGTAACAGCATAAAGCACGGTATAAACCTAAAATCTCTCCCTTTAAAAGTTTGGGTCTCTAAGAATAGATAATAATACTGATAAACAGAACCAGAGTGGTGTGGCCTAGATTTACTCCCTTTCGGGGGGTGGGGGGGGTAGTTCTCATTGCAGAAGATGTGACTAAGAAATACCTGAGTTCACCTACTTGCAAATACCACCCACAGACAACCGAGATGAGCTAGCACCACCAGGTACAACGAGGGGGTAACCCTGAGAGATTACTGCCCAACCCTCTCACCACCACAGGGTTGCCAAGTTTGAGGGGAAAATAGCCACTGTACCAGGAAGGAAGTCAGAACGGGGTGTGGGAGATAAAAGGCCTCTCTTTCAAGATGTCTGTTCATAAAACGGTAAGAAGAGAGGACTACAAATAAAAAGGAAACGGTGTGGGAGTGGCTTGCATTATTTTAGGAAGGGAGCGGCTTCTGCAGATAGAACTATGATGAGGGAAAGTCAGTAGGCAAAGATAAGTTGGAGAAGAAAAGGGATAATTGATGGGGCAGGCTCCCTGAGGGCTTTGATCAGTCAATCTTGACCTTTTGATTCCTAACTCATCTTCAGCCCACATGCTCCGTGAGACTTAATCTTCTCTCTCAGAGCATTGTCATACTTTGGGGCTGTAAGAATATTTTTTAAAGGTGTCTTGCTCAGTAGGTAAAGTTGCTAAAAGGCATGATGAGAATTCCAGTCTTACCAAGCCGACCAAAGGACCTGTGGCTTAGAGACAGGATGGCACCTTCTGATGTGCAAGACCCCAAAGCTAAGCTCAACTTCATCATCGGATGGTCCAAGCTCAAAAGAGATGCATTACACAGAAGAGAAGGGTCTCCTCTTTACCCCCAAAATCCATGAGAATGGCTGTTGATGTGATTGCATAATGCTTTGGAGAGAAAAGGCCTGAAGGCCTGCAAGTAAGTGAGGTGGGGGTAAATAGGTGTGCATAGGAGGAGTGGAAAGAGGAAGCGACAGACTGGGTGCCTGCAGAGGAGACACAAGCCCACACAGCCAGAAGCCCTACGCATTTCTAGCCATACTCAGAAGCAGCATGTTCTGAGAAAGGCAGGAGCAAGGAACGAAGGAGTGTCAGTTATATCAATAAAAGGGGCGGCTGTATCTCCAGACGTTCCGAGGTCCTGTGCTATACTACTTCCTGCCCACCTTCCCTAGCAGATCAGAGAATGTACTCTCTGGAGAAAGAACAGCAGAGCGGCTGTGGGCTGGGGTGCATAACAGAGGACTAGCATGGACACAGAACTGAAAGTAGGGAGACTGAATGCTGGACAGAAGAGCCACAGATAGCCAGTAACCCCACCGTTCTCCCCAACCAAAAAGAACGGGAAGATCTACAAAGCAACAGCAACAAAAATTCTGATGGCAGAAAAAAAAGACTGGCATTTGGAAATTCCCCAACTTAAAGGTTAGTTCACCAGCTGAAATATGCCTGGTGATGAGGGCCATTCACAGTCAAACTATGCGGTCAGCTTTGAATAACCTCCCCCTTAAGCCCCACCCGTAATAACCAGGAGTTCCAATCGAATCAGCACTAGACTACCAACCACAGAGTCAACAGTTCAAACCCACCAGCCGATCCATGAGAAAAAGATAAGGCGGGCGCTACCGTGAAGATGTGCACCTACAGAAACCCTCCGTAGGGTTTCCGTTAACTGGAATCAACTCAATAGTAGTTGTCTAATATGAAACAAAGATCTCAGATATTTGAAGGAAGCTTCCTTCGTGAAACAAAAAGATAAAAACAAGCTCAAAGGGGAAAGAAATGCAAAAGGCAAAAAGAACAAAATTGATTTTTTTAATCAAATTAATGTCATTCGACAATTGAGAAGTAGATTTATTAAACAGTATAAGGCTTTACTGTAAAGGTTAAGATGAAACAATATCTGAAGGCATTTCGGAAATTAACATTTCTCTACACCCAGCCAACCAGCCAGTCAAAATCAAAGACAAAAGTACAGCTTTCTCAACAAGTCAAAGGCTCAAAAATATAAGCCACCTTCCTCCCCTTCTGAGCAAGCTACTAGATAATGTGTGTCAGCAAATCGAGGAACTCGAGCTGGAAAACGAGGGAATGGCTGCCCAGAAACCCTAGCTCCAAGAACCAGGGCCCAGGTCTAGATAAGGGAGAGAGGTCTCTTGCAACTTTTTAACCCCGGAAAATGTGTTCAAGAATGTTATCACAAAATGACACTGGGCTGAGCAGAAAATAACATTTAAATCGTATTCAACATCAACACTGCTTTCCTTCATGCGCTCAGTACAACCCAGCTCTTTAAGGGGCATGGGAGAGGGAAGTTGGGGGAGAGGAGTGAAGAGAACTAAATCTTCATCTCTAACAAGCAAGTAACTAGATCCATTGAGAAGTGGTGGTACAGGCAAAGTATTTAAAGACATGGGAAGAATAAAATAAAATAAAAACACGTCGACAGAAAAAAAAAGAAACCGCTGGCAAACGATTGCCCCAGTAGAACAGGAAGCACTGTTCACTAATAATAGCTATAAAGACCACCAACAGTTACCGAAGCTCCTACTAACACCCAGGCGTGATTCTAGGAGCTTTTATGGGAATGCACTTAAATTTTTCTCAGTTCCCCTATGCGGTGGAGCCCGAGTGGTAGAGTGGTTCTATGCTGTGTTACTAACCACCAGGTCAAACCACTAGCTGTTCTGAGGTCGAAAAAGACAAGGCATAAAGAGTTACAGTCCCCAGTAAAACGATTTTAAAGACGTGAGAGGGAGGGTTACAGTCAGGAAGCCCACAGAACAGTTCTACCCTGTCTTACGGAGGCGCTGTGAGTTAGAATGGGCTCCATGGCAGGGAGAGCAAAGACCTCATGAGTTCCGGAATCGCTCCTTTAGCTCCTTTCCATTCCATTCCATGGGTCACAGATGTGCCATAGGAGACAGGGAGCTTGGGACCTTCCATGGAGCAGACAGAGGCAGAGAGCCTTCCAATACAACTGTCTCCCTGAAGTCAAATGTCTAGCCTCCCAAACCGTAAGACACCCACTTGGGGTATTTGAGCAGCACTACATAACCAAGACACATGTCATCATCCAGTAAAGAATCACTGGTCATGATTAATCTCTGTGGTGATTATAGATTTTAATGAAATTCCAGCCAATCACTAATTTATAGTAAAGCAATAGTCCATATAAATCATGACTTTTTAATAAAATGATCATTCCAACCCAGGTATCGGCAAAGACATTCCAGTATCATTATCGAATTGGATCAAGTGGGATGTAGGAATATGGGGATTGGCCTCTAGCCTAATAAGCTAGTCACAGCTTAAAAACTCACATTAAAACTACTTTAATATACTGGGGCATTAGCTGGATTAATGATTTCTTGGGGAGTGGCGGGGGGGTTGGGGGTGAAATGGGGAGCGAACCATGAGGACAGGAAAGAAGAAAATATTCTGAAGCTGACTGGTGGTGACTGCACAACTTTAACATGGATGAGCTGATATGAACGATATAAGCTTAATATGAATGAATCACATGATTTGGGAATGACATGCCAATAAAACTGTTTTTAAAAACTACTTTAATGTTAATTTTATCACTGTTAAAATACACCTTCATGTGCCTAAAATAGGTGACAGGTGTTTGCTTTAGCTTAACTAGTGGGAAAACCTTTTTTTTTTTTTGCAAGATTAACAAAAGATCTTGGTTAAGTGGATGCAAAGCCATATACTAAGCAAAATTATTAATAGCATTATTGATACCATGACTGACCACCCCTCCCCCACCTCAAACCAAACCCTTACCTGTGCCATCAGTATTTTGTTTACATATTATGTCATCTGCCGTATTAGAAAAAAAGATCGTTTTCTCCTGGGCCCAAAAATCAACCCCCACAAAGAAAGAATGGCTTGCTGTCACTGGAACCATGACATCCTGATGGGAGAGGAGACTGTCAGGAATCCCTCGAATGGACACTTGTGAGGAAAAGAGCAGGAACTTTCTGACCGCTGTAGGAAAAGGGACACGTGGCAATCAGTCACAGGCATGGTCCTTGGCTGCCCCAATTCTTGAGAAACTGCCCATAAGCCATAAGGCACAACTTCAGATATGAGTGCATGAACATTCTTTTTTAAAACCTTGGAAATAATGGAGGGAGAAGGGGAAGGAATCTATATGGAAGACGATGTCCAAATGCCTCATTTCTAAACCGAAATCCCTAAGAACTACATCAAAATCCCCAAGTTTCAATTGACATCTTTCTTGTTTATTTGGTTAAAGGCCAACACCAAAAATTCCGCTGTCGTTTGGAGGGATCGGCAAGGTAGGTTACTTTTAAAAGGAGGGGCAAGAAATGATGGATGAAGAAAAGAGGAAAGGATGGTATTTAAAGCCTAAGAAGGGCAAAAATTTACATCTTCAAACACAGCTCTGCATGCACAGGAAGGAGGCGTTACAGAGAGCTGATCCATGGTAAAGACAGGGAACTGGCCCGGTCCATAAGCATGCATACATGTACCTGCGTGCTGCCTGCCAGCAAGAAAGACTTCTTACCAACACAGCTGTGGCCGTCAGCAGCAAGATCGAAGCCAATGGCACACTTGCATCGGTAACCCAAGCCATCATTATCAGATACGTGGCTGATGACACAGACCTGTTCACAACCTCCATTGTTGTTTGCACAAGGATTTGCAACTGGAATAAAACAATGCATGGAGTAAAATCTCAATCTGAACAATTAACCAAGAAATGTAAAGTCCATTTGAGCCCTATAGGTTAAATAGAGTATTAATGGGTTTGAATCCAGTGGGATTATCATCATCCATTTTTACAGACATCCACATCTGGTGCACTGGCCCTCCCAATTTCATTGCTCTCCCATTAGTAGGGGCAAAAAAACAGGACTCCCACAACTAAATGGCTTTCAAGGTTTTTCTGTACACCCCACCCAATAATTATGTCAGGCTCCGTCTTCTAACCCCAATGATTAGAAATAACTACCAAAGAAACTCTACATGCAGTTTTCACCACGTGTAGGATATACTAAATCTCTGTTCTCCCTGACTGCTTACTTTGCCAAGTTTCACCCAACAAGTATGACCATCTTGATGTCACCTAGGAAGAGACTAAGGCTCCAAAGGGTTGAGACAACTTGCCGACGGGTTTCTAGCTAAAGAGGAATTCAAATCCAGGTCTGATTCGAAAACTCTACAGAGGTCTGCACTACAAACCACTTGATGCTTCCCAAACCATGCTCACCGTCGTGGATTCGATTCTGATCCATCCTAGCCCCAGAGAACAAGGTAGCTCTGCTCCCCTAAGGTTGCCAATGGAAGCAGAAGACATCGTCTGTCTCTTGTGTGTGAACCACTCAGTTAGCAGCCTGAGGCTCAACCCATTGTGCCACCAAGAACCCTATCTTTCTAATAGCCCCCTTCAAAGGAGCAACCCTGGAGGCCCACTGTACCATTATTACACAGCGGTCACAGCTTTGATTGGACAGAGTGCATGTATTTGCCCAGGATGACTACTTTGAGAGACAGTCACCTAAATTCTGGTGGCTTGAGTTGTTTCCTTTGTAAATTAATCTAACTGACTTATCATCAATTTCCATCCTAAACAGACCCATCTCTTAACACGAGAATTTTAAAGCTAAATCACCAATCACCAATGGCAAACTTTATACCAACCTAGCCTACAATGGCTTTTTTTTTTTATTCATAAGCAACTTAGAAAGAAGTTACGTGTGTTCCAAGTACACGTGCCAGTGTTCCATGCAGACCATGAAGGTAAGAGGAGATTAACCGGTGCTCTTTTCTTTGCTAAATCATCGGCCAGAGACATTAAATACAGCTGGTCTATGACAGACCTAATTTCAACCAGAGAAAAGGCACATGTGTACTACATGCACAAAAGGGGATGGAACACCATCTCTCTGACACCACCAAAACTGAGCACTGAGCATGTCATTTTGACCCTTTGGGCTTCAGCTTCCTCACCTAACATATTAGAGACTTGAAACAGACTTCTACTAGAATGAAGGAACATGTTTTGAGTTGTTTTCTTTGCTTCTATAACCCCTGGGCACTTGCTGGTACCAATAAGTATGTGGTCCATCAATCTAGATATGAATTACACCAATATCTACAGAATGCCCATCTAGGTAACCCTTCATATATTTCAGACTAGCACTCACATCTCATTGGATATCTTATCATTTTGAAATGAGCTTCAAGAAAACCTTTCTTTTTTTTTTTTTTTTGAGAAAACCTTTCTAAACCAAGCTGAGCACCAAGCATCGTTTCTAAGGATCTGGGAAAGGGCTTACCTTTGGGCTGCCTGAGGGCATGGTAAACAGTCACTCCATAAGGTCTCATGGAAGACCGGTAGTACACTTGTGGATTTGTCTCTTTGAACTTATTTGCCTTCATTACAGCCATCTTTGTCCAATCAGTAAAAAACAATTGTTCTTCAAACAAGCTTATTCCATACGGATGTGGAACCAGGGAGCCTCCTTTAACTATTGTCTGCCTGTTACAAAA